TAGTTGATTAGTTTAGGAATTGTAGCAGAAGGACCCTCCTGCCCACAGACGCTGATATGGAATTAAATGTACAAGATGTGTTCGGCGGGGAGGGGGTGGGCAATGTCTGGGAACGCTAAAGCGGAGAGAGGACAGGAGTGGACAGGGAGAGCCTTCGGGCCATACTGCTCCTCTCGCACCTGTGAGAGCAGGGGACAACGAAGACGATCGGGTTTGAGGACTCTCGGGCAGCAGAGCATCTGTGAGAGAGTCTTGGCCAGCTCCGCCGGGACCCCTGGCCCCACGATTTCCCATAGGGGAGGCCCATGTTGGACAGAACTGGCCAGGCCCTAAGACCCCCACTCCCCAATCTTTCCCAGTCGCTGACCGGGGGCAGCCTGGGAAGAGCATGGCCTCCACTCAAATGCTGCAGCAGATCCCTAAGGCACCACAGCTGGAGGCTTTCAGATAACTACATTCCTGGCACGATCAGCCATTGCTTCCTGGATGGAGATCCCTACCACTCACCCCCATGGCTGCCAGAGGAATGCATCTAGATTATAGACGTACAGGGCTGCCCAGGCATACACTTCAGGATTTGGTGTTTGAAATGACACACTTGGAAAAGGATATTACCCGTGGCTTTAATGCTTTGTGCGTGCATTAGAACTCAGAAAAAGGCCAGCAAGGGGACAGTTTCCACTGGGAAAGTTCTACTGTAGTCAATTATATTGAATGTAGAGTCCTTCACTAAGATTTTAAGAGGGTCAAATATTAATACAGAAATGAAAAGCTCAGGAGTAACTGAAATTATTTGCTTTATTTAAAGCAGGATTTGAATCCTCAGACATAGAGAAATGTCTATGATATTCCCTAGAGCGGTCTTTTACACCAGTTAACTCAAAGGAGATCCGGTCTGCTGATAATGGGCAAGTTTTTGTGAAGAACTCTTGTTGATTAAGAAAATCGCAGGTCTGACTTACACGAAGATGTTTATTGCATAATGAGCCGGTTATCTGATAGGACTTTAATATTGTGAATGCCAGTTTTCACTGAATCCCTACAGCTTCTCAGGTGCAAGTTTACATCTGTTAGGGATATGAGCACACACCCTCCATTACCCATGCTTATGCCCTTTTAATTCTCAAAACAGCCACAGAAAGAAGATACTATTTATATGTACATTTTATGGATGTGAAAACCAAGAAGGGGAATTTAGATGGTCTGCTCAGCTTCGTCAGATGTAAAGAGGCTGCACCTAGGCCTGTCAGAGTCTGGAGACAGCACACCTAAACACTATTCCATAGGACCCTCTGTGAGTTGAGTGTAGAATTTCTTGTTTACAGAAAAATAATGAAACAGATAGTACCTGGGATAACTTGTGTCTGCTTAAAATATCCCCCACTTACTCTGTTCTGCTGTTGATTTTAAGTGGCCTCATCTGTCCACTAAATGAGCAAATCTAGGGGTGCCTGGGTGGCTCAGTCGGTTAAGCCTCTGACTTTTGATTTCAGTTCAGGTCTTGATCGAAATGTCATGAGTTCAAGACCCTCACTGGGCTCCATGCTGGGTGCGGAGCCTATTTAAAAATAAAAAAAATTAAATAAGGGGCGCCTGGGTGGCTCAGTCGTTAAGCGTCTGCCTTCGGCTCAGGTCATGATCCCAGGGTCCTGGGATTGAGTCCCGCATCGGGCTCCCTGCTCCGCGGGGAAGCCTGCTTCCCCCTCTCCTACTTCCCCTGCTTGTGTTCCCTCTCTCACTGTGTCTCTCTCTGTCAAATAAATAAAATCTTTAAAAAATAAAATAAAATAAAATAAACAAATCTAAGCCAGGACAGCCCCCCTGAAATTGTATACCATATGTGTATAAAAGTACTTTTCTGTGAGGAGAGTCAATAGATACAGTTAAATTCTCAAAGAGGTGAAAGTTCTCTGTATGATAATAAGCCACCACAGAGCCTAGGTTCTTCCAAATGCAGAATAAGTCAGTTTGGGGTTTTACTTGAGTTGGGCTTATCGTATAAGGAAGGTCAGCCCATTCTCAATCCTGGCTTGAAGGGCATAGGAATTGTTTTAGGCTTAGTGACTTGAGCCTGTAGTAGTAACTGAGATAAAGGGAGATTATTTTGGATCCTAGAACATAATGATGCAAGATACAAGATTTCAGACTGTATCTGGTGCAGAGAAACACATTTCCATGATCACCGTCTCTCAAAAGGACCATCTACTTCAGCTGAAATTGGTCCAAAGTAAAGTCCCTGCCACCTGGTAGTCGTCTGATCACTCTGGAGACTGGTGCCATATCAGGGGCTCCATGTTGGCCTCTGCTTCTGGCAGATTGGGCACTCAGCAATGGCTGTAGTGAGATCAGCCTTGGTGAGTGGAGGCCCATGTTGCTGAGTATAACCTCCATCCCTGCCACTTGGCCACTTAGTTCTGGACCCCACTGGGTTCTGACATGACTGCTGGGGAAGAGGCTGATGGGTTTTTACATAATGGGTCCCCTAGCCAGCAGATTATTAAACCTCCGCTCTGCTGAGATTATTCTTTACTGATCAGTCTCCTGAGACACATTTATCTTTACATTCTATGCTCACCTGGACACATCTATCCACAGACCTCTTCCTCATACCTCTTGGTCACAGTTCTTCAGTTGTGTTCCTTCAAAGTTCCTGACCATTCAGCCATTCAACTGGGCATAAAACACGCATCAATATAGACTGGTATCTCTGGCCATCTCTCCTTTCAATCAAAATGGACAACCAGGTGGCCAGCTCAAATTTCTGCTCTCTGGAGGATTTCCTTTAACAACTTTCCTATAGGGCTGTCCCAGAGAGGTACTGCAGGGCAGATGCTGTCCCTTCTCAGCTTGCACAGTAGGTGGGATTCTAAGTATACCCCTTCAAGATGCCAGTCTTCTAGCTATTCAGGCAAAAACACTAATACGAGTACCACTGTGGTGGGTTTTGCAGATATAGAGAGGCAAAATGCTGGAGCAGTCTGGAGGATAAAATATCCTGCTCAGACTGACATTGGATACACTGTAAGAAAAACACGACATTGTGAAGTTTTCTTTTAATGTTTATGAGGAGGCTTACATTTCGTCATATAGTTATGTTTTCATTAATTTGCAAAGATTTAGTGGACAAAAAGGTGATGCCACTGCATATATAAAAGTATATATATTTTTTATTTTCCCAAGTTCATTAATGCTGGAGAACATTCCAGTTATGACTCTCATGACTTATTATTCCTTCCAGAAAAAAAATATTGTACCATTTTCTTGAAGAATACAACTGAAGAAGAGAATACAAGGATTTATTTATTTATTTATTTTAAAAGATTTTATTTATTTATTTGGCAGAGAGAGACACAGCCAGAGAGGGAACCCAAGCAGGGGGAGTGGGAGAGGGCGAAGCAGGCTTCCCGTGGAGTAGGGAGCCCGATGTGGGGCTTGATCCTAGGAGCCTGAGATCATGACCTGAGCCGAAGGCAGACGCTTAACGACTGAGCCACCCAGGCGCCCCGAGAACACAAGGATTTAAATCTGAAACATCACTCAACATCAACAATGATATTTGTTCATGTTTAGCTCTGCAACTTAACAGCAAGGAAATTTTACATATGGAATTCAAAAGACTCCCTCTGTGCAAGCTATCCCCTCAGGGGAAATCTACACAACTCTACTGGCAGGTGCTATAATGGGGCTTAACGAAAAGTAGGCGATGGATAGATTCATTACAGTCTTGGTCACAGGTGGTTGTGCACAATTATCTAGACACCATATATTAGTTTACTTCCAGGGGAAAAAGATTTTGTAAATAATATGCAGTCTAATTTCTTGGATTTATACTTAGATTGAAATGTAGTATGTAGGAAGATGCACTTATGAATTGGTAGAGTAAGAACTTCTGAAAACCCATTGATGCAAGAAGGCAATGAGAATACTGGTAAACATTGTTAAGGTTTCAGAACTCTGGAATTAACCAACGGGCTGCAAAAATCAGAACAATGCCTATTCAAGAAAAATGGCTAAATCACAATACTAACCACAAGCTTGGTGGTGTTTCAAACTGCCCTCTTCCTATGCTCTCTTCTGCTCCACAGTAGCCTTGAAAATCAAGACTCACAGCTGTGGTTGCTCTGTGAAGCAGCAACATATCAGCCAATGAAGGGGAATAAATAGATTTAGAGCTTCCCCAAAGCTCCATTTCCAGACAGTTGTTACCATTGGATGCGCCTGTCAACTCCCCCCAAAGCACCACACTCAAGACTGTGCATAATTCAATAGTCTGACAGCTCACTCCGTGTGTTCAGCCCTGTTGACCTTATGGTGCCAGGCAGCACTCCTGTAAGGCAGTTGAATAGTAGGGATGACGGTGGTTAATATTGTCTTGCTTTGATTTTACGAACAACATTTCTAATGTTCCTCGCCCGAGAATAATGTGCAAAGCAAATTTGTGTAGACACCTTTCTACGAAATGCTTTAGATTTTTTTCTCATGAATATTTGCTGTATTTTATCACATGTATTTTATACCTCAACTAAGAAGATCATATGATCCTCCTCTTTTTCTATTAATACAGGGCACCAGCTATTGATTTATTCCTTCTCAGCTCCAAATTCAGAATTCTAGCCTGCCCAGTTGAAAAATGTTCTGGTTCTTTAAATGTATTTTCCTGTGGCTTGTGTGACCGAGTTCTGCCTGGAGGGGGCGCGTGAGACGTGGCAGGAGAAGACTTGCTTCCTGGTCCTGGGCAGCTGGCACAGCAGGCTCCTGGGGGGCATGAGGCTTCTCCAGCACCAGGCTCCCCACCGCACACAGCTTCTCGGGGACCAGGCTGCTGCAGGGCAGCGTGGCCAGCAACACCGCAAGTCCCGCAGCTTCCCTTACACCTCCCGGGGGCAGTAATAATGACTGTCTTCGGGCCAGACACTTCCGTGTGCACAGCACTCCCAGAATGCCTAGGGGGCTTATATCCAGAGATTCCCGGGGGGGGGGGCGCGTGGGGGTGGGGGTGACGGGACACCTTTCTATCAAGTTCCGCGGGAGAGGCACCACAACCTCACGGCCGTTGCGTGAGTTGTTTCCCGGCTCCTGGAGCAAAGTCAGGACTTTAACCCTGGGAGTGTGGATTCTTTTCCCTGGGGGGCCGGGGGGGGGCCTCTCTGTGCCCCGGGGGTGCCTCTCCCTTGGCTGCGGTGTCTTCCTGGGGGATCTCCGTCAGCTCTGTGGAGACACTTGGTTGGGTTCGGATCTCAGCACAGGGGGAGGCCTTTTCGGGGCCGCTCATCTCCGCCATGTTGGAGAAGAGGCTGTCCTTGGTGGTGTCTTGAGTTCCGTGAGGGACTCTCCTTGTGTCATGGTCTCCGCACCGGTGGGGGGACGCGTCTTTGGGTGATTACGTCAGTCCGAAGTGCGGGGCAGGCAGTGTTTCCTGGCGCTCCATTCAAGGTCTGTGAGGGGGAGGTTTCCTCGGGCGCATCACCTCAGCCCTTGGATTCGTCTCGCTGCGGGCTTCGACCTCAGCCTGTGAGAGACTCTCCTTGGGGCTTAGCTCAGCACGAGGGGGCACTTTCCCTTGGGGGCTGTGTCTCAGCCGCGGTGGGGCCGGGCTCGTCCGCCGTTGTGCGGGCCCGGGGTGGGGCCTCCTCCCGGTCCGGGGAGACCTTCCTGGGGGCTCTGTCCCCTCCGACGGGGGTGCTGTTCCCCGGACGCCTTAGGGTGACCGTGAAACTGTGCGCGGGGGGCTCTGCCTGAGTCGTGGCAGGGAGAGAACCTCACCTTCCCAGCACTGGGCCTTTGGGCTCTTCCTTGGCGCTCCCTCCGAGGTCTGGGGAGCTGAGACTCTTCCTGGGAAGGGCCATCCCTGCCCCGAGGGGGGCTTCGGCCTTGAGCGCTCTCTCTCAGCCCTAGGTGAGGAGGGATATGGGGCACGCCAGCGCCCTGATGGAAGGGGGCTACTCTTCCTCGGCTCCCCTGACTCAGCCATGGCTGGGGGGCATTTCGGGGGCTCTGGCTCTGGCTCTGCCTCAGGGGGTGGGTTCTCCCGAGTGTGGTGTGTCGCAGCCTCTGGGTGAGGTCACCGTTGGCGGCTCTCATGCACTTTGGGGTGGCTTGTTCTTCCTCGGATGCTCTGCCTCCGCCTGGGGCGGAGTAATTTTCAATGATTTGTGAATCTCGGTCTTGCAGGGGTCCTATGAGTAACCTTTCAACTGTGATCTTGGTCCTCAAGGTGGGAATCTGGGGCTGACAATATATGAGAGTTGGTAGCATCCTAGACTCCCAAACCCTTGCCACATAGGCAGTCTTTCATCTCAGTCACGCTGGCGGGTGTGCGGGAGCCTCTCCTTACGTCTAAATGTGCATTTTGTGCTGATTAATGTGCTTCCTTGGCCGTTCATGCATGTGTTTTAGGAAGAGCTTTTCCTGTCCTTTTCCCCACATTTTACTGAGGCATTTGTATTTAAAATTGATTTATGGTGCAACATATATTTACATTTGTGTGTATATATATATATATATATTTAAATATAGAATTGTCTCTGTCTTCTGCTGATCTCTTTTGGTTTGTCCCTCTATTCTTTTTTTTCTAATGGAGAGAGAATGTGGGCACGCCAGCGTGGGAGGGAGGGGGAGGGGGAGGGGCAGAGAGAGAGGGAGAGGGAGAATCTGGAGCGGGCTTCCCACCCAGCATGAGCCCAATGTGGGGGCTGGATCTCTACCACTGTGAGATCATGACCTGTGAAAAGTGAAATGCTTAACCAACTGAGCCATCCAGGTGCCCCATCTCTCTCTCTCTCTCTCTCTCTCTCTCTTTAAGATTTTACTAATTTATTTGAGAGGGGCAGATGGAGAAGCAGACTCCTCACTGAACAGGGAGCCCAATGCTGGGCTCCATCCCAGGACCTTGGGATCATGACCAGAGCCGAAGGTAGCCGCTTAACCAATTGAGCCACCCCCAGGCAACCCCCACCTCACTCTCTTAACAGTGTCTTTTTGATGAACAGAATTTCTCCGTTTATGTCTAATCAGTCTGTTCCTCATGGTCAGTGCTTTTATTCTTTTCAAAAGCTTTGCCTACTCTAAAGCCATGATGCTAATAGATCCTAAGTTTCCTTCTAGATCTCCTGTTCATCAGAGATCAATGTTGTAGGGACGGGAAGGGGGTCAGAGCAGAGGTGAATTTCCACATAGGGAGCCGGTGGACTGACTGAATGGACCTCAAGGGTTTGCAAGCCCGGGTGTCAGTAATCCAGCACCTGCTGTTCCCAGATTGATGTCTAGACTTTCTATCTTGTCCCACTGGAGTATCCGCCCACCTTTGCTCCACCACCACAGAGTTGTCATTGCCCCTCATTTGCGGTACATCTGCTGTCTGGCAGTGTGCAGTCTTCCAACTTGGTGCTGTTGCTTAAAGACGGTCTCAGCTATTCTAGGCCCTTTGATATCCATATACTGTTTACTATCAGCTCTCCTATTTCCCCACAAAAGTAACAGGATGGGTTTTCTGGATTTTAAATTAAATTACTTACACTTTAAATATGAAGAAATAATTATTCTGGGCAGAATGACAATCATCACTTAATAACGAGTCTTCCAATCCACAAGGTATGGATTTCTCTCCATGTACCGAGGCCTTTGCTTTCTGTCCATGAGGTTTAGGTTTCCGTGTAGTGCCTCAGCACACGTGCTGTCAGGTTTGCTCTATGGGTTTTGAGGCTTTTCTTTCTTTCTTTTTTTTTTAAAGATTTTTTATTTTTAAGTAATCTCTACACCCAACTCGGGTTCAAAGTCACAACTCCAAGATCAACAGTTCCACCATCCCCTGACTGAGCCAGCCAGGGGCCACGTGACGTTCTTGACACTGTTCTAATGATATTTTATTTTGTTTTTGTTTTTAAGATTTTATTTATTTATTTGAGAGAGAGGGAATGAGAAATAGCACGAGAGGGAAGAGGGTCAGAGGGAGAAGCCGACTCCCCGCCGAGCAGGGAGCCCGACGCGGGACTCGATCCCAGGACTCCAGGCTCATGAACTGAGCCGAAGGCAGTTGCCTGACCAACTGAACCACCCAGGCGCCCTCTAATATTTTAAATATCTTTTTCTAATTGGTTTGTTATTACACAGAAATACACCTGGTTTTGATTCTTGCTCTTTCCCCAGTTGCTTGGCTATTGTATACTGACTAATTCTCAGTATTTTGCATCTTTTTGACTCTCTATGTACCAGAACATGCGAAAGTGTGAACAACGATAACCTCACTTCTTCCTTTCCAAATGTGTACTTATTATATTTTACTGTCCGTTTTCAGTTCCTCCAGTATGTTCTTGAAAACACAGTGGACACCCTTGTCTTTTTTAAAACTCAAGAAAAAAAGGGTTGGGCCTGTCACCTTTAAATACAACACTTGTGTACATTTTTGGGGGAGGGGGAGATAGCCTTTCTTAGGTTAAAGAAGTTGCCTTTCATCCGACGTCGCTGATGCTTTTTACCGTGAACAGGTATCCAACTTCGACCCGTTTTTTACAATGGCCCCGTGACTTTTCCTTGGTTTTCGCTGTGCACGTAGCACACGACACTGATGGATTTTCCAGGGTGAAAGCAGTCTTCCTTCCAGCAATACACCCAACAACCACATGCCCTTTGGATTTTTGTGTCCTGTTTAAATTCATTTGCGAACCCATCATTTAGGAGTTGTGTGTCTATATTCAGGAGAGAAATCCGGGTTGTTGGTTGTCCTTTCTTCCAGTGTTTTTGGTCGGTGTTGGTAACATGTTTATATTGGACTCAAAAAATGAGTAGGAACTCACACCATTTCTCCTCTGCTCTGAAAGTGTTTGTGTAAGACTGGTATTCTTTCCCTCCTGAATGTTTACAGGACTCCTCAGGAAAGCCTTCAGGCTAGGGAGGCTTCTCATTTGGTACTAGACCTTGTACCACATACAGGAGCATTCAGATTTTCTGTTTCTTCTTGGTGAGGTTTGAAATGTTTCATTGTTGTCGAAAAGTGTCTCTTTCATGTCAGTTTCCCAATTTGCTATAAAGTCATTCTGGGTGTTCCTGTCTTTCACAGAACTCGCTTCCGGATGCAGGGTTCCGTCTCCGGCTTGGTTGCTAGTATTGTTCACCTGTGGCTAAAAGGTCCTCGATAATCGTGCCAGGGAGGCTCCTTAGTCTGTTCAGGCTGCCATAGCAACATGTCAGAAAGTGGGAAGGTGACAGGGACAGAAATGGGTTGCCCTGGGCTGTGGAGGCCGGGAGACCAGGACCAGGCAGCCGGCACCAGGACGATGTAGAGAAGGTCCGAGGCCTAGTTCAGAGTCGGGCGCCCTCGTTCTGCGCTGC